GACTATGCCATGTTTCATTTGTTTTTAGGGTAATTACAAAGCACTTCTTATGATAAATGGTATCACTTGACCCCAAACTCATAAAATTTGTCCTTTTTCTTCTTTGAGATATTTTTTGTGTATGCTAGCTATCATTGCAGTAATCTTTCATTTCCCAGGTTGTACCAACTTCGTGCCTACACATTTAAAGAAAATGCTGCTTCAACATTCTTTGGTTTTCAGTTTTATAAATTTGATGGAAATGAGTTTTTTTCAAAAGTTTATTTCAACCTAATTTCTTAATGAAAAGTTTATTTCAACCTAATTTCTTAATGAAACAATTTACTTATAAAAAGAGATTATTCAAATACATAGAAAGATGACTAGTTTTGTTGCAGTATGGTACATGTATATTAAAAATATTATTAATTTATTAAATTGCAGCAGTTGAGTCACAGAGTTGTGCAATGAATAAAATGTGAATTTGAAAGAAAAAAGTAAGGTTATGACATGATAAATTGATTCTAATGGCATATATTTATTAAATATAAAAAACATAATGATAAGGCTTGTACAGACACATTCCTTGATACATTAATGTTTATTCAAAAAAGAGTATTCTTCATTGATTTTATTTTTAATGCTTAGCTAAATGTGTGCTTGCATTGTCATCAATGATTATCTTAATTAGCGCACCTTAGTCTGTTTGTCTGTAAATTCTCACCTGATTAAAGCATTCAATCAGGATTCAGCCCCCTCCCTTCAATATTACCCCCTCTCTCCCTACAATAAACCCCATCTAAAGATAGCAAACTGTCATCTTTTGAACCAATTAACAGTTTGTGGTTTGTAGTCATGTAATTTTAGTGCTTTTAACTGTCTCTAGCCCTTAAGAGGATCAATTTAACTCGGCTTTTGTTCTCGTCGTGTCAGGGAGGTTATCTCAGATTTTCATCTCTCTCTCTTGTTGATTTCACTTTATTCAATATTCTGTGTTGTTAAAAGACCACACAGGTAAAAAATGATAACTAAGCAATATCATATCACTAGGCACAAAAAAAAGAAAAAAATAATATTCAAATTTGAAATTTTTTAAATAGATCTTTATGAAAGTCTTTTTTTTAAGTATTTTTTAACATAGGCACCTTTTGCAAAATGAAGAAAAAAAATTTTTGAAAGCAAAAAAAAGGGGGAGGCCTGAAGTCCTACAGTAGTTATGAGAATCGATGCACTTAAGTCCTCATCATTGACTTTAATGCACCATTACCCCTCGACCAAAGTTTGACTTCTTCACTTAATCCCAAAACTTTGTGGACAAATCCAGCTTTAACAGAGTAACTTGTAATTATATTTTTTAAAGGAATAATGAAGGATCCCTAAAATTATATGGCTCTCTAAATCAGGTCTTTTTTTTTTGTCTGTTTTTGGAGATTCTAAGGGGCCTATAGTCATCAATTATCTCATTTTTAAGGGGCACATGTATCAAAAGATGTAATTATGGAAGAAGAAAAAAGTTTTTTCATTAAAGAAAATGGGGTTTAAAGAGGAAGTTTCTCTCTCTCTCTCTCTCTCTCCCCTAAAGAGCAAATTAACATATATTTTAACATCTTCAAGTGATTTTGTTTTTAAAACAAGATTGTAAATTGTACAGAAATGTAATTTTTAACTTGCATCCCAACCTAGATTAGGTTTTTAAATCTGATATCGGAACATTAATTGACTTTGCGTTTTCACACAAATGCCTGCCCTTACTAATTTTCATATTTATAGTGTTTTGTAAGCCTCTGTTTTTCAAAAGATTAGTGTCACAAGGAAAGACCAAAAGGGTTTGCCTCCAAGAGAAAACATTTATTGGGGTATCTACGTTTCTAAATGTAAGGAATCCGGGGTGACATTTTAATGCCGCCCTTCTGCTATAAAGGACGACCGCTGATTTCTCTAATGGCGTTCGGAATTGGAAGAAAATGGACATTATACGAATTTGTCATTCAATATATTCTCTTCTCCCACTGTCATTAAAAAGCGTTTTTAATGTGTACACAAAGTTTATCCAGTATAAATATCCACTGTCAGGAGAAGTTATTTTGAAAAGAGGGAGTGTCCCGAAATTAAAGAGAAATTTGTTTGACTGTGAGAGTCTAAAACAGCATTATAACCTCTTAAGAGGGGGAAAAACGGATCTCGGTATAAATGTTAGGTCTCCCTTTCTCTGAGACAAGACTAATAGGTCAAACAGGTGCCCTCTTTAAATAGTCTGGTGAGGTCTGGTCTTCTCTGTATTTAGGGTTGGGTCATTTAAGGTCATCAGAAATTTTCTTTTCTTTGATTTAAGTTTTAAGAGATTTTTACAAGTAAGAGGGGGGAAAATACAATTTATAGGAAAACTGAAGACATTATCTTTGTAAATCTGACAGACTGTACTCTATTAGATTCACAAACTGATATGGAAGTACATGTAGTACAGTGGAGTCTCAATATGAAAATTCGGATATTTCAGTAATCTGGACACCTCATAAATCTGGACAACTTGCTCAAGGCTCAATTAAGAGTTCTGAGTAATGAAGATTAATTGTACAGATTTTTTTTTTATTTTGGCAAAGATTGTAAAGAAATATAATTTTGGATTCAAACTTATATGTATATCAATGGTATTTGAGATGTTGATGCTTGATATAGCAAAGCTCAACATAATACAATACATTGAAGCTTATTGTACAGTATCTTATTATTAGAATATATGAGTAAGAAAATTTTTTTTATGTAAAAAAGGTGACAATATATCCCAGCTGATGCAGTAAGTACATCAAATCGAAGCCATGTCTAGTCTCAACTGACTCAGTAAGAATAAGGCATTACAATGTCACATCTGCGAATCTATAAATCACAAAATAGATTCCTTATGTCTTTCTAATGCAGGTTTTAATGAGGTAACACAATGAGATGCAGATCCTTTGAAGTAATGCTAAATGCATGCGATATACTACCCAGTAGGTGCACAAAAATCCGCCACTGTTCTGATTTTTGCAGCTCCATAATTTTGAAGGCTTATTTGATTTACAATGGAGATGAAATCTTTACCAAATTAACACCTATTATTTTGGCAGTTGGGTGGCACTAGCTGTTATATATCAGCATGCCATTTTCTTAAGCTTTCAGGTTGATCATTCGAAGGGGAGGGGAAGAAGCAGAAATAGCACTTTGAAAAGAATTCCCATTATGCAATTCAATCCTATTTGCACAGGTGCAATAGATTGCAGGTTTATATGCAAGGAAATGTGCATTCATTGAATTTAATTTGCACAGTCAAGTTTGTATTCATTTTAAACCGGTATTTGAGAAGGCTGTTAATAGTTTCAGAGATACGTAGATTAGATCATTGGAGAGGCTTTCTAGTTAAATAGATTTTACTTTAAGATTTACTTTAAGATTGTGATTTGATTTCAGAAATAAGAAAGGAATGTTAACTGCTGTAAAATAAACAAAATCCTAAGCGATATATCTTTTCTTCATTTATTGACTGCAATCAGTATTTCTAATTAATGCATTAAAATTAATTCCTTGATCAGAAAACTTTTGAAATATTCTGTAAATTATTTCTCTTTTAATATGAATTAAGTGTTAAATTTGACTTCCATGAAGTTGAGAACAATTTGAAATAAGCATATACCCAATAGCTGCAGACTCATATTTCAATTTTTAAAGTATGTAAAGACAAACCAGAACCAGTTCTATCAAAAGCATGCAATACTTATTATGCTAGTCAAGAATAAGATTGATCACCAAATTAACTTTACATTCCAAGGAAATTCTTGGTATTTCCATGTAATATGACCTGAGCATTTGCCATATACATGAAGGATTTGAAAATATACAAATTTAAAATAGATTAGGAATATTAATGATACATCAGTCCTGAGGTGGATATGTATGTAACTAGTTATACCAGAAATGGTCATAAATGTTGGCTATATAGGTTAGGATGCATTTTCTATTTACCACACACTAAAATAAGTTTCCAATTCATTGTATATTTCTCAATATACAATCACCCCCCACCCCCAGCTTGAAAATTATTCTTTGTGCAATTTCTATAATTGATCGGTAATGTGTACAGGTGATAGGAGAGACAGGTATTAATTTTAGCCGTACTAAATTGGCCCTGTCAGACCTGGGATAGAATCTAATGAGGGATGATGAGCGTAATTTGTTGGGGGGGTACCACGACTCCCTCCCTCAAATTCCCACATTGTTATTTGATCATTTAGAATGTCATCTTTTGTATTGTATTTTCACAGGTCTTGATCTTGAACTGCATGGAACTAATAATTTAAAATCGGGGGCTGCAAAGCAGGTTTTCAAAAAAGAACAAGACGTCTGTGAAAATCACAGAGAGTTCGGGTTTTTGGAATTCTGTGTTTAGTAAAGTTTGCTGTGATAATAGCCGATTAAAATATCTGTTTCATTTCAGTTCTACAAATATTGTCGGGTTTCTGTCTATTTTAAACCATTGTTGTTGAATGCTGAAGGAAATGTCAAACAGTGGAATTCCTCAATAAAACTTAAGTTTATCTTCATTTCTCCCATGCAGACTTTAATTTGTATTGAATGACTTTATTTATATAATCTGTAATCACACAGATTCTTTGTAAAATGAAACAGCTCAAAGTTAAAATTTGAACAAGATTTTAATTTCAAAAGTAAACTGTCTTCCTCTTTATATCCTTGAATGAATAACTGCTATATGAAAACCTATGTGAAAACAATTAGTTTGAAGACAATGTAACTGGTACATGTATACATTAAATTACTAAAACACCTTTAACGTATGCCAAAAAAAAAATTTACATACCTAATACTAATAAGGATGAAACATATATCAAGTGCTGCAATATTACTGGGATATATTAAAATAATTTAGCCTTATTGCTAATCTTAAATGTTTTCTGCAACTATGTTCTCTTGTAATTGAAAGACTGTCAAGAAGTTCAATCCTAATTTTTTTTTTACATTTCGTATTCCAGAAAGTTGGTTGTGATGGAATTGTGGGATCCGGTGCAGTGGTGGACCGGTGTGGTGTCTGTAATGGGAACAACCGGGATTGTCAGACCATCTCCGGGATCTACACCAGGGCCTCACTCCCGTATGGTTACAACCTCATCACCCGAATCCCAGAGGGGGCGTGTAACATCAACATCACAGAGCTGGGAACCAGCAGGAATTACTTAGGTAAGGGATCACAGAGCTGGGAACCAGCAGGAACTACTTAGGTAAGGGATCACAGAGCAGGGAACCAGCAGGAACTACTTAGGTAAGGGATTACAGAGCAGGGAACCAGCAGGAACTACTTAGGTAAGGGATCACAGAGCAGGGAACCAGCAGGAACTACTTAGGTAAGGGATCACAGAGCAGGGAACCAGCAGGAACTACTTAAATAAGGGAGTAAGAGCTGGGAACCAGCAGGAACTACTTAAGTAAGGGATCACAGAGCAGGGAACCAGCAGGAACTACTTAGGTAAGGGAGTAAAAGCGGGGAACCAGCAGGAACTACTTAGGTAAGGGATCACAGAGCTGGGAACCAACAGGAACTACTTAGGTAAGGGATCATAGAGCTGGGAACCAGTAGGAACTACTTAGGTAAGGGATCACAGAGCTGGGAACCAGCAGGAACTACTTAGGTAAGGGAGTAGGATCACAGACACTACTTAGGTCATGGAAGGAGAATTTATTGGAACAAGCAGGAACTACTTTAATAAGGGAGTAGGAGGTCTGTAATATCAACATCACAGAGCTGGGAACCAGCAGGAACTATGTAGGTAAGGGGGAGGAGGAGGAGGAGAGGGTTTTAGAGACTCAGCATATCAACTTACTTAAAGGGGTACTAATGGGAGGAAAGTACTTACTCAAGGGGGCACCCATGGACGTAGAGTTAATTGGAACTATAGTGGGAACTACGTAGGTATCAACCAAGATTCGAGTAGAAAGAGTGTTCCTATATCACATGTAAGAAACAACAGGAATAAGTTAATATGGAGTAGGAATGATACTGTAATATAACAGTTAAGAAACAGCAGAAACTTTGATCAGGAAGTAAAAGGCATATAATGTCAGAGAGCTGAAATGTAGGAAATAGAAGGGAATCATCTATGTATCAGAATCATCAAAAGTACAATGTCTTCTAAGAATTTTTTTCCCAAAGAAAGTTTTATGCCTGAAGAGCTACTTTCCATTATTAAAAAAGTGTGACTTAAAGCCAAAAAGAGGATGTCATGATGACTTGCATATATCCATCAAAATTAAAAAAAATTTATTGGGAATGTTAGAAGTTTGATGTACAATAATTCACACATTTTGATCAGCAACAAAACTATAAAAGGCAGCATAAAATGGCTCAGGGGCAAAAATTGTAGCAAAAGCATTAAAAAGAAGTAAACAAGGTTCATTCAACTTAGACACGATACTGCAATGATTGACATGAGCCAACATAACCCTTCACATCATTGGGTCATTGTTGTCAAGTTTGGGCAGACATTTGACGAAGACTTTTTTCCTTTGTAGTGCTGGACAAAAATGTCGGATTCACACATTGATTGCTTATCAAGTTAATTTGTTTCTTTCTTCGCACACCTGTTCTTTGATGGTTATATTAGTATTTTTTGTTATGTGCATTGCAAAATTATAGGTCACTTGATGAGTACAGAAAGATGCCCAAGATTATGCAAGTTAGAGAAACAATCTCTTGGGTGCAATAAAAATGTGTAGGGAATTGCACCATAATTCACTTAGCTTAAAAGCGTACCTGCACATTTATTATCAATTTTGAAAATCTATATCTCTCATTGGAAAAGAGGGATTTTCATATGAATTGTCAAATCTGTCAAATTTTCTTTTATCATTTGATTGCCCACTGTTTGCTGTCATTTTCAAATTTGGGATATAAGGGATGGGCCTCTTTAAAAGCATTAACATGTAATTTGGGGGACTCTCTGTTTATGAGACTACTTGCATCAAAAGGCTATCTAGAGTTGTGCAAACTAAGTAATCTGCCTAAAAACCTTTTTATTTATGTTTTGTAAACCAAAAGCTTTTAAGACTTGAAAAGCGGAGCTATCTCTTTTTAGATGTCTAGGGAAGACAGCAAATCATCGTGGTGTGAAAGGGTGACAGGTCAGCATTAGATTAAAAGAAGAATTTTCAGGCCATTGGCATAGAACAAAAAAAATTAAAATGTGAGGTGTTTTTTTGGTATAATACGATTCTCCTTATATCTTTAGCAGGGTATAAAGGTAAAAAAGTTTAATGGTCTAAACTGAAACTTGTCACTTTCCATTGTAGAAATTAGATGGGACAATTATCCACCTGCATGAGTGCATGCTGCATAAACAGGTGTAAATAACAAATTATTGTTAGCTGCACTCTGTACCCTTAAAGAATTTTATTGGTTGCACTCTCAGTTTGGGTGCAAGTTATACATCACATAGTATAATGAACTCTGCATATACCTTAAATTGTGCTTTCAGTATATAGATAAGAATTATTACGTAAATTCACTACAGCTAGGATATCGTATATAGTAATTAAAATGAAGAAGAATTCTACATGTAATTGAAAATTTAATTTTGAGATATTGGTGTTGGATTGGGAAAAAAATATTTCCTGCTTTTTATTTTTTCACTATATATTGTTTCATAAAAATTATACAATTAAAGCAATGAAATTTTGTTATTATGTAAGAAAAACAAATACAGGAAGTTAGTACGTAGGAGGGGAAGCTATCACTCAGAATTGAGTGTATTATTTTAGGAATAGTTATGATTGTTAAAATGAGCACCTTGACCTCTCAAAGAGATTTCCTTCACTGGTACTTGTAATATTATACCTGAGTCAGCAAGTCACATTATATATGTTAGCAAGGCCCATAAATTAGAATTCTGACATACTTGTATCTTTTTGTGACACCCTCCCCCACCCCACCTCTCCTTCAACCCCCTCAAAAAAAATCCAACTTGCAGTGAAAGATTTTCTGTATGAAATATATTTGCTTATACATGCAATGTTTATTCCCCAAGTCAGGAAAGCAAACTCAATATTGATGTTGAGAAAGGCTTTGATATTTGTCTATTCTGTATATTAGTGTTCACAATTTTAAGTTTATTTATTAATTTTCCTGGTTGCAATTGCACAATAAGTGACGACTTTTTATTTTAGGTACAAATGTTTTTAAATTTGAAAATTGAAATTTTTTTTAAAAATTTTATTTATTTAAAACTTTTTTACATTATATATGTTATATATAGCATTTTATTAAGGTATATCACGATTTTTTGTTGCACGTGATACGGAGACCTAAATACTGGTATTTAGGTACATATTATAAAGTCCAGAAATTATTCATTTATTTGTTCAATCTTTCAAATTACAATTACAGCAAGTCTAAAAAATGATGTAAAAGGTGAAAAGAAGGGCATCTTACCATCCAAACATAAATAATTTTAAGTACATACGAGGGGTTATCAAAAAGTTCGTGGACTGACGCAATAAAATTAAAACCGCTTTAGGTAGAGTAATGAATTTTAAAATATTTAATAAGCATCATCTTTTCTATCTATAGAAAAAACCACAAATCATAGATTTTATTTTTAGAAAAATTAATAATGTTTTTGTAAGCAATGGTTTGCAGTGAAAGATTTTCTGTATGAAATATATTTATTTCAGGTTTGTGATACATGCAAAATTTGCAATCTTTATTCCTATAAAATGTTATCGTACATTTTGTAGTCAGGAAAGACAAACTCAATTTCATTTTTGATGTTTTATACCTAGAAAATGTTAAATCTGGCTACAGGGAAATAAAATACATCCAGAGGACTTGTTTTTATGCCATTTGAGAGAAAAGGAATGAACAGTTTATGTCGATTTGTAATGTTAAATTATGTCAAAAAATGGCATATATTATAAAAGCAAACTGTTTGGCACAATTTCTCTCCCAAATTATTATCATATGATTTCACATTGTAGGTGCATACAAACAAGACGGGTTGCCTTACAATATAAATGTATGAGGTACCCTTTTAATTTTAATGTCGTTTTAATTTTATCATAATTTGGCAAGTAATGAACGTATGAAGTTAAAAATTTCAACATTTCTTTATTTTTTGTTGTTTTATGTTCCTTGCAATTTTTGAAAGCATTGTATTATTTTTCGCCTCAGACGAATTTTTGATAACCCCTCGTAATGATCAAAAAAGTGAAATTTTGTTTTTCTAGCATATTTTAAGAAAAAATAATGATTTTTCTTTTAAAAACATTGTAAAAATTGCTTGTAAAAATATCATGATATTATCGAGATATTCTGGGATAAAATAGTGATATATCGTGATATGAAAAATTTGGTGATACCCATCCCTAATATATAGTTCTCAGCAGGACTTGTAGTCCTATTAATTTACCGCTCCCTTTTGATACATAAGTCACCCCGTCTGACTTCATTTTGGCTCCTACAACCCTGATAAAACAAGGCCCTTCGCAAACAAATTTATTACACAAGTTCGACAGTTGGCGGCCTCAAATCACATTAAGATTGTGTCAAAATTCCACAAGACAACATTTGGTGTTGGCCGTGAAATGGTCCAGTCCTTTAAATAGGTAGGTTCCCCAGGGTGAGTGCTTAGTTCTGGCCTACGACTCTCGGGTTCATTACTGCGTCGTGTTAATAAATATGACAGACTTGTTACAGCTTTAAAAAGTCTACACAGTAAAGGCCATCAAAAGATTATCAATGAATTTACACTTTGTCCAAGTTTTTCCTTAAAAAAAAAACACTGGATTGTAACCCTTTTTAATTTCAATTTATCATTGCTGATAAAGGTGCATTATAATTTGGTTTTATACTTGTACATGTTTTAAGTGAACATTCTCTTCTATGGCAAGGGTAGCTTGTTTCTCTGTTGTGACCTGTTCATATTTATTTCTTTATTTCCTTATCTTGGCAAGAATTGCATTCAACAGATCATGATCAAAAGCACTGATTGGGTAATGTTGATCCTTGGTCAATCAATCATTTCATTTGTTTGAAATCATTTATCTTCACTTAAAGACAGATTCATGTAGAGAATTATATTTTGATTTCTTTCCCACCAATATTGAATGAAAGGTTTTAGCACCAATGATATGACTTACAGGTAAGTGATTTTGGTCAGGCACTGTTTTACCTGTGTTCTGTTTAAGTAATTGTTTCAAGATAAGCCAGTGATTGAATGAGTTGCTCTGCAAATTACTGGTCTAATAAAGTTTGTACAGAAGTGCTTTTTACCATTTTTCTACTTTCAATTTTAGTTCCTTCAAATATCCATCAGGTTTTTGGCTATATTGGCTATGTACATGTACACTGTGGCTCAATTGGTAATTCACTTAGAGCAGTTTAGAGTTCAGGGGTTCTGGGGTTGAATCCAAGTTTAGTTTTTCACATCTTCTCTCTCTTCCTGTTACATATATTGCTATATAGTCATAGAAGCGAGTGGACTAAGAATCGCCAGGGAATGGCTTTGGCCGGTTTCACCTGGAGGGTGGTGGTGGTGAAGGTGGGTGGGTGGGGGAAGTGGGGGGGGGGGGGGGGTTAGGACATAGGGATCGAGGGAGGAATATAATGATATAATGGTCGGGCAGGTTCATTTGCCCAATTTTTAGAGTTATTTTTTTTTTTTAAAGGAATTTAATATTAACTTCTTTTTTACAGCATTGAGACTTCAGAATGGAAGTTACATCACAAATGGTCGTCGGCGCCTGAGCAGAGTGGGGGAGTATGAGGCGGCGGGGACGACCTTCACCTACAGAAAAAGAGAGGGGGTGGGGTGTCCAGGGGAGTGTGTCAGGGCCAAGGGTCCAGTGAATCAAACCATTGATGTACAGGTATGTTAGGATTTGAGTTTGCCTAATTTGTGCATATATATTTCATATCATAACAAATAGTTGATTAACCCAGAGTGAATAAAATTTATCTTGCCAATGGATTTATTTTGTTAAACTGGCTAACATTTAGAAAGGAAAAAATATGCTGAGGCTGTGACATAAAGAATAAAAAATCTGCAAAATATCTACCCGTGGTTAAAAGTTTTCTAAATGTTAAAAATTAAATGTTTCAACCAAAAAGGCTGGTGTACAAAAGGTTTGATTGTTATTTATCACAGTTGCTAATTTTTAATGAGACATATCTCATGGTTTCAGTTGCTGTACTACAGAAATAGTCCCGGTATTCTGTACCAGTTCACAGTTCCTAAACACATGACAAAGGCAGCAATGGCAGCCATCATTCCAAGACTGAAGACAGGGCACCAGTTTAACCAGGCTGTAGATCAACCGGTGGCAGATAGCAGCGGGCAACCAGTTTATCAGACAGGGTACGAAAACATCCCCACGGGCAGTGGGGGTTATCCTCTGCCCAAGAGCTATAGACCCAGGATCATTCCAAAAATGAGGACCTCCGTGCAGTCTCCTCCCCGATACATTCCTTACGAAGACGTGAAGCCCGAACTTCAGAGTTTGACCTTAGGTCAAGGCAGAAATCTGAGCGAGTCACAGTACCATCTTTATTCCTCTTACTATGGACCATATCGTTCAAACCAGGCTGTGTCTGGAGATTATGGCAGAAGGTACGCGACAAGTCCAATAGGAGAGGCTCGGGAGAATGCAATCAGTCTGGGGAATTCCGTACAATATAATAACATGTTGGACAATAAACCTCGTCTTTCTGCCAATAATATTCCTGATCCTACGCTTTATGAATGGAGGATTGTGGGATTTACGGAATGTTCCCTAACCTGTGGGAGAGGTAAGGCAAGCAATGCTGATTTAGATATATTCATTGGCTGACAAGTTTTTTTTACAGTTTTATAGAAATGGGGCATAATGAGAAGATGGCCCTCTGCAACAAAAAATTAATGCTTACTGGTCCAATAATCTGAGGTCGAGGGCTAAGTTTGTCATACATTGAAATCCTGTTCAAGCTTCATAGAGTTAACCTATTATAATGATAGTCGCAGACATTTTAATTTTCACATTCCTAAGACTTATCTCCCAATGTCTATTTCTCTACATGTATATCCCATATTACTTACATTAAAATTATTTTCAATTTTCACTCAATACAATTTTGATCCATTCCTGTATTGCAATAGTAAGAGGCAACATAAAAAAAACAAAATGAACATATTCATACAGATTTCATTTGTATGAAAGGCATTGCCATATCAAGTTGATAATGTTATAGATGCGAAATCACTTCTGTATTAAAATTTGAAAGTCATCAGGTGAGCTTCAAAGCTCATATGGGCCTCTTGTTTTCAAAGAATTAAGTTATTACTATGAATCAACAGTTTGTAGTTTGCAAATTCATTCATGTTAAACATATCATCATGGAATTTATTTATATTTTTATCTCTATATATTTTTTTTCCTGTATGACGTAAATCTTTCTAATAAAATTGACAACATCCTGGATTTGCAATGAACGAGGATATAAATCCTGTAAAGCAGCAACATTAAAATTTAACTTTTATCAATGGCTTTATCTGAAAATAAGCAGTGGTTATCTAAGGCATAAAAAATATATAGGTCATATTCAATATTCACATTGTGTCGATTTCAGCTTATCTGAAGAATACCATTTGACATTAATGAGAATTTTAATGTAACTGCATCCTTAATATTTGTTGTAGCAATGAATGGAGTTATTTGCCATAGATTTTTATCACAGATGCCATCAGATTTGTTGATCCCTTGGGGTTAAAGCTTAATGTTTTCTCATTATAGCAATAATCTTACATTGTTTTAATCATTTTATAGAGCTTTGACCAAAAATAAAATATAGATTTTTTAACTCTCATCATTATGGCAATATAATCTTACAGTGTTTTTTATAAAACTTTGACAAAAAACAAAATTAATGTATTTCACTGGCTTCCATTAAAGAAACATGATAAAGATTTTAGTGAGGCCTTTTTTTAAACAGAAATTTCAAAGAAATGCATCCTGAAAAAAGTGTCTGGATTTTTGAAAATCTTTTGAATTGAATAAGGGTACTGGGTTGTGTCCCCTTTTCCTTGGTAATCTTATCCCACATTCTGTAAATAAATCTCTCTGTAATAGTATTAAGTTTTTAGGGTGTAACATATGGTGTAAATATGATATATTATATCGCCTAACTTCTACTGATGTTGGAGGGAGATAATGGTGGATGGTTTTGAGTACAAAATTATTTTCGTCTCATATCTGTATGGGTTTATAGATTCTCATGCAGTCCGTTCATATAGATCAAAGTCAGTTTTTTTATGGAGAGGTCAAGGCTTGAGAATTAATTTAGCATCCATGCAAGACTCATAAATAAAGCATTTTTCCCCATTAGTGAATTTCTCTATTCTGTATGGTGGGAAGATGCAAAACTATTGTTATACTGCTATGCAAATGCTGCATCAGCTGGGGTACAGTTCACATTTGATAAATATCAAGTGATTTAATGTTTTATATTTTTTCCCCGTACTTTTTAGGGGTACAGCAGACTAAGGTGGTGTGTGTGAAGAAGGATAGAAACCTGATTGTGACTCATGATAACTGTGTACCCAGCGCTCGCCCCGCCATACAGACCATTGAATGTAACACCAGAATCTGTCCGCCTGGGTAATTATCATCATCAGATGAATGAATGAATTTTCATTCATTTTTATATTCTTTTTTTAATCCCCTCGTGCAATGTGCAAAAATTTATTTTTTCCCCCTAAAATTTGATGAAAATTATAGAGATATTTAAAGCTTTTTTTTGCAAACTGAGAGAGTTTATGAATGAATGATCGAGGTTTTCATTAATGAATGAATGAATTTTTTACTTTTTTTTTTGCCTCTAAATTCTGATACAACTTGTAGAGACATTTAAAACTTTTTCTTGAGATAAAGAGCTTCATGAATTTCACTGTAACATTTTAACACTTTCTGTCTTGGTAACAGGGTAAATTTGATGCACTGAGAATTTTTCAGTAGAAAATTACAAAAGTATTTTTATAGCACAAACCTAAAAATTTTAACACAAACCCATTGAAGCTCTTGTTTAGGTGTCTTCTTGAGGATATCGTATAGTAGTTAGCAGTAGGAGTGATGGGGAGTTAGATTGAAAGTGAAGGGAAGTAATGAGTTCTCTGTCAAATATTATCTAAGCATCATCCATCTTGTGTAAATGATACCATTCAGAGGGGGGTAAAAAACTTTGTTGAAATCATTAAAATTGTTAAAGTAACTTAAAGAGTTTATTTTTTATGTATTTTCTTCTAGTGTTTCTTCTAGTGTTTGATTTATATCTGGCAAGGATAATGAATTGAAAACTGTGAATCATTTTCCCTTAAAAATTGTTACTATATACTAAAAAAATGAAACTTGGTATATGAGTATCAAATTCATACACTGTATGTCTTTAGGAAATACGAGATCATTATTTATTAATAAGAAAATGAAGAATACATACATGTACCTATTCAGAAGAAAAGTAGTAAAGCCAAAGGTACAATCCATAATGATTTAAGATTGAAATACATGTGGAGGGAAGGGTGAAATCATGATATGCCATTATGGTCAGGCTCTTGTTGAAGGATATGCTTTTAATTTTCAGTTTAGATTCCTTATTTCACATGTGTATTCCTTATGACAAGACTTAGCTACTTAGCTTTTTTAGTGTATCAACTTTTTTGACCTCATGACCTTGACCTTGGACTCTAACCTTGGTCATTTTGTCTTAATGGCTGGTGCTTTCATATTTTACATGTACTTGTTCTTTGTAACAAGAAATCCTTTTGGATTATGAACTTTTTTGAAACCTTTATAAATTTGCAGTTTAACCTACTTTTGAAAGACACAATTATAATCTAGACTCTGAGCTGAAGTACTGGGAAAATACATAAGAAAACACTTAATCTTGTTTATTAATTGTTAGCTCACCTGAGCCGAAGGCTCAAGTGCTTTTTCTGATATTTTACGTCGTCGTTGTCGTTGTAAACTTTTCACATTTTCATCTTCTTCTCAAGAACAAAATCAATTTCAACCAAACTTGCTACAAAGTGTCCTTGGGTGAACGGGATTCAAGTTTGTTCAAATAAAGGGCTTCGCCCTTTTCCAAGGGGAGATAATTATGAATTAGAGAAAAATTAATGGCATTTTAAAAAAATCTTCTTCTCAAAAACAACTGGGCCAGGAAAGATGAAACTCATGTGGAATCTTTAGTGTAGATTCAAGTTTGTTCAAATCATGACCCCTGGGGCTAGGGTGGGGCCAAAATGGCCGACCAAAGTTACACATAGGAATATATAGGAAAAATCTTTAAAAATCTTCTTCTCAAGAACCACTGGGCCAGGAAAGATGAAACTCACGTGGAATCATCCTCATGTAGTGTAGATTCAAGTTTGTTCAAATCATGACCCCTGGGGCTACTGTGCGGCCAAAATGGCCGACCAAAGTTTTACATAGGAATATGTAGGAAAAATCTTTAAAAATCTTCTTCTCAAGAACCACTGAGCCAGGAAAGATGAAGCTCATGTGGAATCATTCTCAGATAGTGTAGATTCAAGTTTGTTCAAATCATGACCCCCGGGGGGTAGGGTGGTGCCAAAATGGCCGACCAAAGTTTTACATAGGAATATATAGGAAAAATCTTTAAAAATCTTCTTCTCAAGAACCACTGGGCCAGGAAAGATGAAACTCATGTGGAATCATCCTCAGGTAGTGTAGATTCAAATTTGTTCAAATCATGACCCCTGGGGCTAGGGTGGGGCCAAAATGGCCGACCAAAATTTTACATAGGGATATATAGGCAAACCTTTTAAAATCTTCCTTTCAAGTATTTCAAAGCCATGATTAGTGATATTTTTCTATTTAAATGGAATCATCCTCAGGTAGTGTAGATTCTAATTTGTACGAATCATGACCCCCTGGGGGTTAAAATTCAAGCCCCCCCCCCCCCCCCCCCCCCCCCCCAGTAAACTTTCATGTCTGATCTGATATGTGCTTTTTATCTAGCCGATGTGCTCAGGTGAGCGCTGTGGCCCCTGGGCCTCTTGTTTTATTAGTATTTAAAAGAGTTCTAAGTTTATTTAGGAAGAATTTCTGTAAAGGACAGAAGGGTATTTATAAACTGTTGATAAAAGAAGGTTTACGCTCTCATTTGGCTTTGTCTCCTAATAGTCAGATTTTTTTTTAAGACTTCTCTTTTGATGATAAAAAGATGAATCAGTTAAAAAAGAAGCACGATCCAAAATCAATATTTGGTTTTGGAGTCCAAATTACCGAATTAGGATTTAAAGTGACAGTCCTGAGAATTAAACACTAATAATTTGTTATTTGAGATTTTTTATCCATCCCTCTTGAGATGTTTTCACATTGCATTGACCAATCAAATCATTTACGACCCATAATGTGATCTTTTATCGCATATTTTAGCACAATTCTTTAACGTTCTTCAAGTGCAAATATGTCATACAATTTATGTCACTGTTATTTTCAAGATATTAGTAATATTACAGGGGGTGCTCTGCACTTCAGTATAAAGTATTTATTAGATGGAAAGAGCAAGAGCCACTTTGGGCCTTATTTGGCCCTGAGAATTTCTGAAAAATCAAAACCCCTCAGTTTAGGTTGCAAATACAGTTTTTATCACTTGGAGTGTTGTTGACCAAATGTTAATTGTGACGTTTTTTTAGTCAATGCATTATGACGTAAAAATGATTTTACTCATATCCTGTAAATTCCTTTGAAAATGACTTAAAATTGATGCATTTTTTCAATATTTCACATAGAGCACAACCCCTGATCCAAAATATACAAATACATAATGAAAGCTCTGTTTCTGAGGATCAAAAAACATGGTTTATTTTTTGGATCGTGGGCTGTGCTCATATTTTAATTCATTGCTGAAGGTAGTCAAATACGCATGTTTTCTGCAAATTTCAAGAACATTGCAATTTCTCAAACCTGTTTTCCAATATCTGGATTCTCAAAACGAAATTGTATTATAGAAAATGAAAGCACTAAGTGTCTACTTTATTTTGATATATGAAATGGGAAAGAGGGTGATAGTTAAATAATTGATATAAGTACAGGGCCATTTTATGCATAAGATGGCTCTTGACCTTTCAGACAAAAATAAATTTGATAAAACTATTAAAATGTTTGATTTTTTTTAATGCTTTTAAATGATATTATGCTGTTAACAGAACAATTTATCATTATTCCTGAAGTTTTTGTTGAAAGAAATATGAGGTTAATTTTTAAGAATTTTATTTTGGCTGAAAAATGTGTTGGTATACACATGTAGGTTAATTATGCATGCCAGAAAGGAAATTTTCTATACTGTGATGTATATGTAGTATAAGAAATTACTTCTTGTACATGCAGGCATATAGACAATATAGTATAATTTTGTTGAAATTCATAGAAAATTTAAATAGTTAAATTTCAGAAGTTAACCATTAAACTATTATTTCTCTGTAAGAAAAACTTCTGACATAAAAACTGCAGCTCCTATTGATTTAATTAAGAGTCCATCATTTCAGATGTAGATATATAGTTATTTTTCATGTTCTTTAATGTTTTAGATGGGACATAGGTAACTGGTCAGACTGCAGTGTGTCCTGTGGGAGGGGCATGCAGACCCGCCCCGTGGTGTGTGTACAGAGGATTTCCTCCTCCTCCAGGTTAGACGTACAGTCCAGCAAGTGCCCCTCCCCCCGACCAGAGTCCTCACGGTCCTGTATGAATAAACCATGTGCTGAATGGAAGATAGGGGAATGGCAAAAGGTAAAAAATGGTGAAACCATATTTCTTCTGTTTTTTCTCTCTCATTATTCAAGTAATAAAAAAGAGGGGGAGCAATTTAAGGAAATTTAAACTTGGAATGCCAAATTTTTATCTTTATTAAAGTAGAAATATTTTTTTCATTGTGAGAGTCAGTGTTGATGGGCAACCAAAATTTTACTTGTTAGTTAGAACATATATTAAATGAACAGAATACAAAAGTAAACATCTGGAAGATTGAAATACATGTACTATTAAGGGTTTCTGACAAAGAGTTCAGAGGTTTCTTTTAACATTCCAGTGTTCCAGTGTGTGTGGGAAGGGGGAGAGGAGACGTACAGTGGTCTGTCAGAGTGTGGAGGGACAGAATGTCACAGGTGACCGGTGTGAGATCAACAAGCCTCCGGACACCCAGACCTGTGATATGGGGTCATGTGCCCAGGGCTGGTTCCACAGCCAGTGGTCAAGGAAGGTCAGTTAACCCTCAAAACAGGCTTAAGATGTCCAACATCAGCACTTAGTGATGTCAATTACAATTGAAGTTGGGTTATACTAGTCAAAAAGAAATTGAGAATAATTGCAAGATATTTTCCATTGTAAATTCATGCAGAGATTGTGTGCAAAATTGCCTTTATGATATTTATTTAAGATCAGACCAAGTAATCAAAATGTACATTAATTATTTAATGAAGTCGGCTAATTTATTGTGTGAAATTGCTCTTACTTTGAATTTATGGCTAACAATTTCATACCTATATCTCCAGTGCTACCCATCCTGTGGGAGAGGCCACCGCAGTAGAACGGTTTACTGCTCTGCCCCCGACGGAGCCCAGATGTCAGAGGCCAAATGTCAGACAAGGAAACCCAAACAGAAAAGGCCCTGTCGCAACAAGAGACCTTGTGGAGGATACTGGTTCGCAGGGCCCTGGTCAGAGGTTTGTGAAATCTTATTTCTGGAAAGAAAAGCTAGAAGTCCAAGAAAGATAACTCCGGATGATGGAAAATATTGCTCAGACGCTAAAATTTAGGATTGATAAATTTTAAGATTTTGAAGAGCAGAAGAGTTGATTTTGTGAGACTTATATTCTTTACTATTTTTTTTTCTTTGGCAGTGTTCATCAACCTGTGGGTCTGGCAAGAAGGAGAGAAGTGTCATATGTGTGAAGAAGCTGGACAAAAAATTATTCACCATTGTGGGTAAAGAAAACTGTCGAGGGAGGGACAAACCCAAAACAGAGGCTCCTTGTGAGCAGTTACCTCCCTGTCAGCCATCTTGGTTCATGACCCCCTGGTCAAAGGTAACTGAGCTGTATTATACTGTAAAGAAACTTTTTACATAGTTACATGTACAGCCCTTTCATTGTGAATATTAGTTGATGCAGACTGGTTTTCACTTGGCAATTCATGAAAAAAATTGCTTTATATAATGATTTGTTTATAGTATCCTGTGTGATGTATATGTATTAATGAAATTGATGTCAAAAAATTATTTCCTTATAAAAGAAAAATTTCCCCATGCATTTACATTTGTTTTTGCAGTGCTCTGCTAGTTGTGGTACAGGCACCAAGACCCGCGAGATTCGCTGTATGGACCCAGACCTAGCGCCCAGTTCTACATGTCCCGCAAACAAAAAACCTAGTCAGCGTAATATCTGTAACACACAGCCATGTCCAGACGAAAGTATTCAGCAAGGTATAAAAATCAAACTAGATCATAAAGTATGTGATTTATAGCTATTTGTGTAAATGTGCTGATCAAGTTATTCATAAATATAGACCATCATCATCGCAGCTTAAGAGATACAGTAAAACCTTGTTAGAACTCAATTGGGGTCAAAGGAAAACTGAGTGGTACTAGAATACCGGTATTTAAAATAGTTTGGTTTAAATGTCTTAAGAAATTGTATGTGTAGTTGGAAATTCCAAATCACTTCGACATATATCCATGGCATTCAAGGTATTGAATTTTGAGTAAATTTGATAACTTAGTTCATGTAGTACTTATTATCCCTTAGCTACAGAGTTGGAGGGGGATATAGTAACTTGCTCATGTGTCGTTGTGGGTGAGTTAGACGTTGTAAAAGGGACATACCGTAAGTTGCGGGAGGATCGATGTTGAATGTTGCCTTGATTAACAGATATTCGAGGAGATGCTCCCCATTTGGGGTACATTTTCTAGTTAAACTTAGTTCTGGATATACTTTAATCCTTCCTTGTTTCAGATCCCAGCTGTAAGGATGGATACAAATTCTGTCAACTTGCTGGACCAGCCAGACTTTGTTCTTATCCGTTTTACCAAGAAAATTGCTGTTCCTCCTGTCAAGCATATCAACACAGAAAAACGAAAGAAAAACCATAAACTCTTCTAAATATAGTCTTAATTTTACTTGAAATACTTTAAAAGTATACTAAGTAGGGTAATAGGTCTGTGATCTTAAAGATCAAGAATCCCTTTGTTGGCTGTAGAGCTGCAGCTCATCAGAGATGACAAAACAATTGGTGCACAGACAAAGGGAGAGAACTGCTTTAAATTTACGAGGACTGGAAATCTCATGTACAAGATAGAATCTGTATGACTTAGGACTCTTTGAATAGTGACTCAGAGTAAGAAAAAATTGTACTGTTATGGGTACTCTAGAAAAATGGCAGAATTAGTGCTTGAAATCTGTGACTTTTTTGTTGTTTTTTATATTCCTATGTTTTTTTGTTTGCAAGTGTGGATGAAAGAGATGAAAAAAGTTGCATAGCATTACTTGGAATTGTTGATAATGCTGAGAGTTTTGTAATTTTACAAGTGAGTATGAGAGAATGTAATGATGTGTGAGAATTATTTATGTTTTGTATAATGTTTTTGAAGTATTATTATATACATTTATACTAATTATTGTTGCAGCAGCTTATATTTGTAAATCCACAATCAAGTATGGAGATTTTACATGGTTGTAATTTGCTATTCACCAAGACCAAAGCATTTTATCATAAATTTGATTTTAAACTTTATGTTTTCTTTGTTTTGCTTTTTCTCTGGGTATAGAATTCAAAGTTAAAAAGAAATGATCTCAATACCAGTATATTATATAAATATGTATATTTATACATATACTGTATACAGGGTTATTTTCGCACTGTTATTTTTGCCCTCAAACGCTTGCAAGCAAGTTTGCCCTGTTTTAAATTGGCCCAGTCACTGTTCTGTTTGGGAAATTAAACCATATTCTTTAAGTTGGCCCCACTTTATATCATTCACACACCGTGAGTAGGACAAAAGGGGTTAAAATAAATTGGCGGAGAATATTTCCATGTAGATAGTGTATGGGGTAGTGCCCAAATAATTTTGCTGATATCAAGAATACTACAGAAAGCAAAGTTACTTTGCTCTGTATGCTTGTGCCTTTCAAAAATAAAGTCTGAAGACCTTTTTAGGGTTGTCAAGGTAGTGTCAAACGGAAAACATCCCACCACCATTTGTAAACTGAAATTGCTCCATACTGACCTAAATTCCTGTTTCAATGCTCTCTCAAGCAAAGTTTGATCTACATATATGAGTCTCCAGTGCAGTCTCCAGTAAGCTTAGTTGATCTTTCTACAATGTACCTATCTAAGATGTTCATTTTTATTCTTTCAAAGATACCTGCGATATGAGTTGTAAGAGATTGTAACTTGGGGTAATCTTTGGACATTCTTCAGAAACTGCTTGACCTTTGAATAGTTGCGGGGCTGTTTGCTTATTGTCAGAAGTAGAGATCCAGAGAGATCTTGGTGTAGCTACCCCAAGAGATCCTGAGATCGTTGTGTAGAGATCCTGAGATGTGTGTAGAGATCCAAAGAGATCCAGAAATTATAGTGAAGAGATTCTGAGAGTTCCTGAAATAAAAGCTTAAGGACCCCATGAGACTGAAATAAATTTGTAGAGATATGGAGAAATTCTAAAATTATTGTGTAGAGATCCTGTGATCTTCATATGTAGAGATCCCAAGAGACCCTGAGATCATTGGTATAGAGATCCAAAGAGATCCTGAGATAATAGTATAAGGATCCCAAGCGATTCTGAGATCATGGTATTCAGATCCCAAGAGATCCTGAGATCATGGTTTTGAGATCCAAAGAGATATTGAGATCATGGTATAGAGATCTTGAGATCATCATAAAGATATCCCAAGAGATCCTGAGATCATCATAATTATAGAGATCCAAAGAGATCATAGTATAGAGATTCCAAGAGATCTTGAGAGCATGGTATAGAGATCCTGAGATCATGGTATAGAGATCTAAATAGATCTTGAGATCATGGTATAAAGATACAAAGAGATCCTGATGTCATGGTGTTGGCTGGGCGACTGCTGTTGAAAAATCAGTCACTGAGTGATAAACTTAATGTTGCAAATATCAGTTATCTCACAAAGTCGTCACTTCTGTGTAAAGTTGGTTTACAGAAAACTAGAGAAGGTAACGTTTAGCAAAGTTAAAAAAATTTTATTTGATAAACAAATATATTCAATTCATTTTTGAATGAATATTCATCTACCGCAATACGAATTTAGGATGGTTGTGCGTGCATGATAGTGGTTAACGAAAAAAGAATTACTTCTATGAGTCTCTGTGGTAATTAATACATTAGGTTTAATTCTAGATCGATAATCAAAGAAATGCAATCGTCTGCTGAAATTGTTTATTCCCATGCGCATGTACATGTACATAGGAAACTACTTGCAAAACTAAATTGAATTATGCTTTTTTGCCAATTGAATAAAAAACCCACACAAATACAAGTAAAGCTGTGTATTTTCATGATGGGTATCTACATGTATATATGTACTGAGGGATCAATAATTTTTTATTTACTTTTAACTTACCGCATTTACGTATATACAGATGTGGAACAATCATATGAAATCACGTGAGAAATTTTTGTATTCTTATTTCTATTCTAGATAATTTAAGTGTCCTGTACCATTAACTTAGCATTAACATGTGTATTGATAAATATTGTGAGTATTTCAATACAGTCTTGATTCATCAGATTGCTCACAAGTACGTCCGCGCTTCACCAGCGAATGAAATCATTCAATTTTTTTTAATTAATCCAATCAAAATTCACCTTACATATCTTTCACAGAACATTTGATTGATTTACATGTATGACATCTTCAGAAGTCTGTCGGCATAATTTTCATTTCTTCATGTTAAATCTATAACTATAAATTCATATTGTTCTACTGTTCTATATAGCGTAATCAAAGAATTTCATGTTACTTAGAGTAATTTAAAAATTCTTGTCGAGGCAGGTACTACCTGTGTGACGGAGCCGGACAGATCCAGGATTTTTAAGGGGTCTTTCGTCTTCATTTACTATTCAAATGTTCAGAGTTCAGACTATAATAAATTCTGCTCATTTTCTTTGGTCCAGATTAATTATCTGGAACTCCATCAGAACATGAAATTTTTGCAGAAGTACACTATGTTACAGATTAAATAGTTTTAAATATTCCAAAGGGGGTGAGATCAATGGTTTCAGCTTAAGGTGAAAGATTCTAAATTTAAGATACATGAAAATTAAAATTTTGACTGAATATTCAGATAAGAGAAGATTTTCACAACATGTTTGAAAAATGTTAGGAAATTTATACATACATATTTAAAAATAAATATGTTTTCTTTAAAAAAAAATCATTAACTAATTTGTCACAAATAAAAAGACCATTTTATTTATTTATTTATCTATTATTATTATTATTTTATTTTTTTTTGAAAATTAGCAGACTTTCATTGCATAGATGATTTGATTTTGGAAAAAAGGTAGGATCTTTAAATAGTCGCATACCGTCGGGTTCGATATTCCAGAAATTCTAACTCAGAGCGCATGGGAAAAAAAGAAAGTAGTCTCTTTTTTAGTTTTTAGCTTATTTGTTATTGATACCCATTTAAGTCAGGTAAGAAGCTATTTTTAATGCAGAGTGTGTATTTATGTATTGAATAACATGTTTGAAATATGCGAATGGTGTTTCAACTGGTTACTCTGCATCAAATCAGCATCTCGACGTTTTTCCATCTCTCCGGGTCACGTGACCAAATAAAAGCTATTTTATCACTGAAGGTTTATTCCAACATCCCCCTTTTCTATTAGTCTTATATTATTAATGCACAACAATGCCCTCACTGCCCCTCAGTACCATAGTAAGTTTTAATTAGTCCCTTCACGATAACTGTGGTACTACTCTTTTGCAGGGCAAATTAATAACATTTGGTGAAGTTTTTGTTGTTAAATAATTAAATGTCATAAACAAGACAATTACTTTTATGTCATATTTCGACAAAGTATATCATTTTGCCCTGCAAAAGAGTAGTACTGCAATTATCGTGAAAGGTTCCATTTGTGTGTATTAATGTAATGTGTATCAGGGTTTAAAACTTTTTTAAAATTATGTATGTTGGATTCTGAGTTCAGAAAAATAATTTTATCTGTCAGGGTTTGAATATTTTTCTATCAGTTGCTACATAACTTCTGGCTATTGCCTGTTCTTTATGTTGGACCCTCCAGAACTTTATTAGACATCCAATATTTATTTGGAGGCGCCCCAGCTCTATTTTTTGGCGGCCACCAGTTTGAGATAATTTTTTTTGTATACCTGGCATCTACTTTCTTCCATATCAGAATACAATTATTGAAACAAATATGGATGAAAAAACACTTTTTAAAAATATTAAACATGTATACAAAAGGACAGAATTAAGGTTCGATCTTGCCATCTTGGACTTTGCCTTTGTTTACGTTCGATTTTAATCAATATCTTGATTTTTCCTACCACTACCAATGTTGGTGAGATCTAGCTTAAAAATGATTGAATAACATAGCTGATTAGAACTGGCTGTATTGAATATGTATTAAACCAAAACATCCTTGAAAGCTACATGTACCTCTGAAAACTTGAAGATTTGATTGTGATGATTTTTAACATTAAGTAAAATGAAGAGTTTACATTTTGTATAGTATATAGTTCATGGCGATTTTAATTTGAGAGTGGAAGTAGGTTCCAAAACTCATGGATTTATATCACACAAGAATAATGGTTGGTTTACAATATATATCAAAATATGTGGCTTGGAAGAAGAAAATTTTCTTTAGCAGTTGTTTGCAAAAGTTTTTCAGTGTTAAACATTTCATTAAATTATGATTGTATCTTTCATAGAATGGATGAACTGACAGCAAAGCTTGCTGGGAGCTTCAATGTTACTCTGGAGCCAAACAGCACCGCAGCCCAGCACCCCCGATATGCCCTGTATAAAAGTAAATCCCGGGTAGACCAAGAAACCAGGAGGAAAAGAATCCTAGAGGAACAGAAGAAGTAAATTATAAACCAATTTTTTCATTTGATCTGGTTAAGATGTAGCTGTTTAACTGTAGTGATTGGGTTTGTAAAAAAAAATGTCTAGAATGAATGTAAAAATGTCCATTTAATTGAATTGTTTAAAAGGTAAATGATTTTTCTTCTGCTTAAATATTCTATAATACTTTCTGTAAAGTTTCCATTCACACCTTTGGCAACCCTACAGTACTAAAATAGTTATTCACACCTTTTGCAATTCTAAGATATCCACCCCCTACATAGCTGTTCAGGTTTTGATGCTGAGTGGATAAAAAAAAAAAATTACAACTTCAATGAGAATTATGCAAATCAAAGGCAGGAATGATATTTCAATTTATTGCAACAGTATCCACATACTGAAGAAAATATAAAAATAGATGCATGAAACCATAGGGGTTATTTATGTAAAATATTTTTTATCACATACTGAAGTGTAAATTACCCCCACATGTAAATTTCTGAATTTGCTGATTTTGTACAATAAAAGGGCCCCACAGGATCTGCAGGTGTTTAAAAGTAATGACTCTGTCTGTCTGTCTGTCTTTTGCTCAAGAGCAGAAGAAATGATTTTGTCCTTTGATAGAAAGATTTATATGAGAGCTTTAATTAGCATGCAATCACTTTTCCGTCTGTCGGTCCATGTTTTTCATAATAAGGCCATGCTAGAAATGGAGAAACATTAAAAGCTCATAATTGACCCAAAGATTGTGTATGTCACAAGAAAGTGTTTTGATCTCAGATCAAGGTCATTATTAATGGTAAGTTCAAGGCCACTGGCAAAAAAATAATGTAATTAAATATAGAAATGTAAGAATATCTTAGCATGCTTATTCTTGGCAAAAATTTCTTATGAGCTTAGGCCGTGTTATGTTAAGTCCTAAACACATAACTGTAAGTTGTTTTTAATTCCACAGTGTTAAAATTGCATGATATCTGAAAAAGTACCAATTGTGATGGTTTTAATTTCATGCGGCAAAAAATAAATTCAAAATTTCGTATTAACATAAAAATACTTTAAAAAACTAATCATAACATTCACGATGGGTTTAATTTCATGGAAAAATGATAAACAGGGGATGACAAATCCCATTGCCCGACGCCCGGGGCTAGTGAATTTTAGGGTTGGGCAAGTGAAATTTTATCAACCACTTGCCCGTGGGCAAGTGACTTAATCAATTATCAAAAATAAAATCAATATCTATGCCAATATTCTACTTAGTATTTTTTATATATATATTTATAAATACAGTATAAGTTAATGGTAGGGCAGGCAAAAATTCAGGTAGGGCAAGTGAATTTTGACCATGTACTTGCCCTTGGGCAAGTGCCTTAAAAATCTATTTGTCAGCCCCTGATAAATCGCGAACATAGCGAAATTAAACCATTGTGATTATTTGCCAATAAACAGTATACAATGCTACTCCAGCATGCTAGAGGTTCACGGCGAGATACTTTTGACTTGGCGCCGCGTAACCTCTAGCATCCATTGTAAAAATTCTCGCCGCTGAAACCCCAAGTGGAAAAAAAATATTTTATTAAGAAATAAGGCTTTGTATATTAACGAATGGTACGAAATAATAAAAATACTTAATATTTACGATAAAACTTACGCATAAAACACTAAAAATTCGGAAATGGAATTCAGAAAATCTTACGAAACGAAACCAGTGTAATGCAAAGAAAATTTCGTTTTCTGACAAGCAATCCGCAAAATTAATGTGAAGTCAAATCGAAAGTACATCTGATGACAGATTGGAATAATGACAATTTTCATTAATTAACAATAATGCACACTGAATAAAATGGATTTTATTATTGCTTGTGACTTTCATACCCCATGCAAACACGTAGGTACCTGAAAATTACTTGTTAACAGTTTATTTCACGCATAATACGTTCCACCCAAAATATCAGTGGAACGGAAAATGGCCTTCGGATGTAAGAGTCCGAGGTATATAAGGAGCGTAGGGACGTTAACCGAGGCTCTTACTTGTAGGAGTATATACAATGCATGCTCAAACAAGTTCACAGCTAAGAGGAAGAACTCTTATAAAGATGTCAATTCATCAGATTTTTGACAAAAATATTTTGAGTAGACAAATGTTACTCTGCAAATACTGTGTTACAGACAGCGATTTGACTACCTGAAGCATGTGCGGAACTTGTCAGAGGACGCCTGGGAAATCACAGATGCCGAGTCCGTGGCCTCGGAGGATTCAATGGACGTATCGTTAGAGGGGGACAACGTCAAATTACGACGGCCAGGCAAATACTACAGAAACCAGGTGACTGAATGAAATATAATGATCAAGCCTTAGAATTAATTTTATTTTTGAGTTGTAAAAAAAAAACCTTGAAGTTGAGAGGAAAAAATATTCCAACCTCATTATCCTGCACTCAAAATATAGAGATAAAAATGATTTGATATAAGGTGGTTGAATTACACTTAGATTCTGAAAATAATAAGTACATGTAGTTCTTGGGAATTCAAATAATCTCTTCAGCATATGCATGATAAACAAGATACTGGAGTTTTAGATTCCACATTTCAACTGCACTATGAAAATGATAGGATTTTCTAAATGCTTTTCAAGATTATATATTTTTTTCTTAGCATGAAATAAACAGTTGTAAAAATGTCCTCTGTAGCTGATGTATTCTGAGTGGCTCGTAGAGAAACCGGAGGACTTTGAACAAGAATGGCTGACAGTAATATGTCCCTGGGGAAAGAGAAATCTAGTGGTAGCATCCAGAGTAAGTCATTTAAATATATTTACATCCACTGAATATTTTCTCCTTTATTTCTTAAGAAAACCCATTGCGTTAATCACTGCATGAACTACATTAGGCATGTCGCCTGTACAGATTTCTTGATCAGTGGCTGTTCCATCAATGAAACATATAAAGACGTTCGCATCATTAATACAATAATTAATCTTTTTAATCCTACTGTAAATGATTAATTAAACAGATATAAATATAAATAATAAAATGTCTTTCTTTGTTTGTTATTACTGGAATTAACAGTTGCAGCTATTGCAGAAAAAATTTACATAACCCGCGTACGCAAGTTATGTATTTTTTCTGCAACAGCTGCTTCCGTTAATTCCAGTAATAACAATCAAAGAAAGCATTTTATTGTTTAAGTGACTGCTTCCTGTAAAATGAAAAACTGATGTGTAATCAAGCCTTAATAAGGGTATCATTTTTGGAGAATGACCTAAGATGGAATCTGTCTGTCCTTCCAACATTTCCACCCAAAGATTTGTCTCTTAGTGGTATAGTATCATTCATCCATATTATCCATATCTATCCATATGGATCGAGTGTCATTGGGAAGAGAGCTTGTACGTGTTTTGATCTTGATTGAAGTTTTGCATTGAAAGGTTAAGAGCAAAACTGTTGAACTTGGCAGATGAGACATATACCTTTGTAAGAAGTAAGATTGCTTGTGATGAGAGTTAATTGCCAAGTAGGCAATCTTAGTAAAACAGTTGTAGCTGTAGCTCTTTTTCCCCCTTTGCAACATTTTAGTGTTATGGCAATAAGTGTAGACCCTTTTAAATTAGGTGGTTACCATCTCACTGATATTTAGAACTGATCTTCTGGAGATTTGAACAAATATTTTGTGATCTGAATACCACTCTGATCAGATTTGATAAAAGTAAATAATAAACCAAATAACCAAGAGTGGATGAGGTAAATAATAATTAAATATGGAAGTTTTTGTTTATTCCCAGGGAAGAACTCATGCCTATGCCAAAAATGGAAGTCGAATGAATTCTTTTTCTTCCCATCTACCAGGAGGAAACTATGCTCAGAAAGGCAAAGGAAAGGGAGGTAAATACAGAAAGGTTATAAACAGGAAATAATTTTTCAGTATATGTATTCTTTATTTTTAGTTAAGGAAGCTGTAGAAAAGTCTTCTTTCATTATTCATTTTATATACCTGAACATTTTTTATACCTGAACTACATGTACCAGAACAAAAATTATTCAAACGAGTATTTGCTTTGGTGTAATTTGACATGTCAGTGATGTGTTTTGTATCAAGAAATTAATTAAGAATGAATACCAAACAATAATGGAATATTGCAGATAATGTGATTCTAGACTGCATCTTTGATGAGAACGAGGGAATTTACTACGTGCTGGACATCATGTGTTGGAGGAACCACCCTGTGTATGACAGTGAGGTAAGGGGGAAAAAATCGTCCAAGGGAAGAGTTTTTTTTTCAGTTTTTTAGATTATTCTTTGATTTAATTATCATATGATTTTTTTGTATGAATAGACAGAGTTCCGATTTTTCTGGCTGACCAGTAAATTCCAGGAGGTGCCTGAACTGATGGAAAAGTCCCCTAATAATCCAGTAAGCTTTCACTTTTACTGTCTCTCTGAAGTAAAAATTACAAATTAATTTTTTAATTAATACAAGAAAGAGAAGATATATTTGATGTTCATTTTGTACTGCTTTGTTGATTATTTTTCTATATTTTTGGTGAATTGATAATAATATTAAGGCATTGTATATATGCATGTGTACTGGTAATTTAAATGTTGACACTTTTTTTTCAGTACAAATTCATTCCTCTTCCAAACTTCCCTTGTACAAAAGAATCCATATCGACAGCAGTCAACTCAGCCAATTTTGATGTGAGTCGTCTGAAAATTTGAATGCATAAATGTATTTTGCAGTTGCATTACTAATTCATTATAGTTTTCAAATAAGGCATTTAACCATTGTATTTAAATATAACTCATGGTGCATTTTTGTCCAATAGATAGACGGGCTGTTATTTTTCCACAAGAGGACACATTACACATTCGGTTCAACGCCCCTTGTTGTCTGGTTAAAACCATACATGCTTCCTGAGATACTCGAAATCGAAGTCCCAGAAAAACTTTTGGCTGAGCGACCAGATAATTATTCAAATTATGCCGCTCATCTGGAGCATGTGGCTGAGGAGAAGAAAAAGCGAGAGGAGGAAAGAAACAAAAAGGGGAAAACTCCCCCAAAGGGGAGGGGTGGAGGAGGAGGGGGCGACTGGAAGGAGAAAAAGAAGAAGGGAGGAAAAGGGAGGGGGAGAGGAGGGGCGCAGAAGATGGAGGTGTACGAGGAGAGTCAGCCAGAGAGAGATCCATATTCCAAGCGGAGCTACGGACAAGATTTCAGAATGGATGTGAGTGTTGAAGATGAGGAGGATGAGAATGAAAATGAGTCTTGTGATACCATGACAACCATCCCAGAATAGCCAATCAGCTGCTTGCTTTCTTCTAGAAACCAAAGTGTCATATTCCGTTCATAAGAACCGTAACAAGGTCAGCAGAAAGCCACTAACAGGGTCAAACAGGAAATGACCTTGTCCTTGTGAGGTCATAGAAGTCAAAGGTCATGAGGGAAACAGAAGATTCTAAAATAGGAAGAAAAGAATCTTGATGTTTCATTTATCGAAATACATCAAGGAAAATAACTTAAGTTGAATATGAGAAGTGTTGTAGATGGATCTTGCAGTAATTTTTCATGCATGTACATGTAATTGAAATATAATTTTATGAAATATTTCTTTCTGTCAATATTCACGTAAACAAAAATTGTAAAGCTAACTGTTGATTCTGAAACTGCAGTAGTGCAAACATTCTACAATTTGCAAGAAAGCAACTTATACAGAGTAATGTTGTGGCATGGAATAACAATTTCTCTTTCCTAAAACATCCATTGTTTGAAAACTATTGCAAGATCAAATCAACAACTCAGCTGACATTGGAGTATCTTTGCAATCTTGTTGTTTTCTCAAGGCATTTTAAATAGGTTAATATTTTTAATTGACAAGATCCAAATGTCTGGATGCTCTAATGTTCAAATTTGTATTGCAATCACCTCAGTTTTGTTTTATTAAATTAAAAATAACAAGATAGTGTTTTCTTTAATGGCTAGAAATTGAGATGTTTTGTTTTCTGCTTTTGGGAAATATTCAAACTAATTTAAGACAAACAACAAAAGCCAACTCGCAAATATTGAAATTAGCTTTTACACTAAAAATTATTCTATTTGGGGAAGGGTTAGCTAGGGTTAGGATAGCCTTGGATGTGGTATCATGATTGGTGCATCATAAACCCCCTAAAAAGAAATTGAATGAGAATGAGTAGGATTTGCACTCAAACCTTAGGAATAAGGTTGTTAAGTATAAAAGAAGAAAAGTCAGAGTTGCTTTTGGTATTAAAAAAAGTAACAAAGGGCTCATTTTGAATGTGTGAAATGATTATTTGCTTTATATGATTTTAACACTAGAAGATGGACTAGAAATCCCTACTGATTTTGATGAAGGAACTATGCTGTATGTGTAACAAATTATAAAGTTTATCAAAAGGCATTTTTTGAGTGCAGTCATGGAGGGCAAAATTAAAAGTTTCTTTAGAATAAAAAATTATGTAAAATAGCCATATGGTACTTGGAGAATTATGAATTTAAATACAACTTTCATACATGTGAAAGAAATATCCTTCAGTTTTGTGGCCTTGTTTTACTCCCATTTCTCAACACTAACTGTTGTATTTATACAGATTATTTCTTCAGTCACAAAAATTAGTTGCTGCAGATAGATTTCAATCTGACAAATTGTAAATGCCTAAAAGTTTTTCCAAATAGTAGTTGGTTCACAGTTTGTTAAACATCATATTTTATTCTTTTTGTATATTTAGCTGATGTTCTCTGAATGGTTGACTGACATCCCCTCAAATTTCGAGACGGAATGGTATGCAATTATATGCCCCACTGGAAAGCGCCATCTGGTGTTGGCTTGTGAGGTAAAGTAGGATAAGTTAAATGAACATACTGCAAAGATAATTTTTTAATAACTTTTTTAGCTCACCTGAGCCGAAGGCTCAAGTGAGCTTTTCTGATAACATTTTGTCCGTCGTCCGTCCGTCCGTCTGTCCGTCCGTCCGTCTGTCTGTCCGTCTGTAAACTTTTCACATTTTCGACCTTCTTCTCAAGAACCACTGGGCCAATTTTGACCAAACTTGGTACAAAGCATCCTTGGGTAAAGGGAAATTAAAATTGTTAAAATGAAGGGACATATCCCCTCGCAAGGGGAGATAATCAAGAAAAGACAAAAATAGGGTGGGGTCATTAAAAAATCTTCTCAAGAACCACTGGGCCAGTAAAGCTGAAACTTATGTGGAAGCATCCTGGGGTAGTGCAGATTCTAAATTGTTAAAATCATGACCCCCGGGGGAAGGGCGGGGCCACAATGGGGAATCAAAGTTTTATATAGAAATATATAGGAAAAATCTTTGAAAATCTTCTTCTCAAGAACCACTGGGCCAGAAAAGCTGAAAATTTTATGGAAGCATCCTGGTATAGTGTAGATTCTAAATTGTTCTAATCATGACCCCCGGGGGATGGGCGGGGCCACAATGGGGAATCAAAGTTTTACATAGAAATATGTAGGAAAAATCTTTGAAAATCTTCTTCTCAAGAACCACTGGGCCAGAAAAGCTGAAACTTATGTGGAAGCATCCTGGTATAATGTAGATTCTAAATTATTCAAATAATGACCCCCGGGGGATGGGTGGGGCCAAAATGGGGAATCAAAGTTTTATTTAGAAATATATAGGAAAAATCTTTGAAAATAGAACCACTGGGCCAGAAAAGCTGAAACTTATGTGGAAGCATCCTGGTATAGTGTAGATTCTAAATTGTTCAAATAATGACCCCTGGGGGATGGGTGGGGCCACAATGGGGAATCAAAGTTTTATATAGAAATATATAGGAAAAATCTTTGAAAATCTTCTTCTCAAGAACCACTGGGCCAGAAAAGCTGAAAATTTTATGGAAGCATCCTGGTATAGTGTAGATTCTAAATTGTTCTAATCATGACCCCCGGGGGATGGGCGGGGCCACAATGGGGAATCAAAGTTTTACATAGAAATATGTAGGAAAAATCTTTGAAAATCTTCTTCTCAAGAACCACTGGGCCAGAAAAGCTGAAACTTATGTGGAAGCATCCTGGTATAATGTAGATTCTAAATTGTTCAAATAATGACCCCCGGGGGATGGGTGGGGCCAAAATGGGGAATCAAAGTTTTATATAGAAATATATAGGAAAAATCTTTGAAAATCTTCTTCTCAAGAACCACTGGGCCAGAAAAGCTGAAACTTATGTGGAAGCATCCTGGTATAGTGTAGATTCTAAATTGTTCAAATAATGACCCCTGGGGGATGGTTGGGGCCACAATGGGGAATCAAAGTTTTATATAGAAATATATAGGAAAAATCTTTGAAAATCTTCTTCTCAAGAACCACTGGGCCAGAAAAGCTGAAACTTATGTGGAAGCATCCTGGTATAGTGTAGATTCTAAATTGTTCAAATCATGACCCCCAGGGGAAGGGCGGGACCAGAATGGGGTATCAAATTTTTACATAGAAATATATAGGAAAAATCTTTGAAAATCTTTTTCTCAAGAACCACTGGGCCAGAAAAGCTGAAACTTATGTGGAAGCATCCTGATATAGTGTAGATTTTAAATTGTTCAAATAATGACACCCAGGGGAAGGGCGGGGCCACAATGGGGAATCAAAATTTTATATAGAAATATATAGGAAAAATCTTTGAAAATCTTCTTCTCAAGAACCACTGGGCCAGAAAAATTGAAGCTTATGTGGAAGCATTCTGGGGTAGTGTAAATTCTAAATTGTAGGAATCATGACCCCCGGGGGAAGGGCGGGGCCATTATAGGGAATCAAATTTTTACATAGAAATATATAGGAAAAATCTTTGAAAATCTTCTTCTCAGGAACCACTGGGCCAATAAAGCTGAAACATATGTGCCCATGGAAGGATCATGGGGTAGTGTAGATTTCAAAATGTCTAAATTATGATCAGTGGGGTAGGGTGGGGATGCATTATGTATAACAAGGGTGAAATCTGGTAAAGAACAGAATGGTCAAAGCTTCTCAGGTGAGCGATGTGGCCCATGGGCCTCTTGTCATGAATTGTTTTGATTTGCTAGACAAATGATGAAGCATTGTCCAGATGAAATAGAGTTTGGAAAAGTCTAATAAGAGAGGGAGTGTTCAAATGCTGTGTACTCTTGTCATAAAGTGTGCATGCACTATTAGAACACTAATGGATAGATATTATATAAATGCAATGACCAATCCAATTGTTAGTTTACAAAACATGCTGAATTTAGACACGTGTTGTGATAAATTAATAGCAAAATTGCAACACACGTATCCAACTTACCTGTAACTAACACGTGTCCAAGAAACCTGTACATGTATCTCACAGTAACTTGCTTGTGTTTGCAGCACACCCATACAAAAAACACCTGTGTCGAACACACTCGTTCCCAATACACCTGTGTCCAGCACACTCGTTCCCATCTTCCCAGAATATTCACAAATTTTAATATAATTTTGAAAGTTCATAAGGCTATATGACGTAATACTCTACCCCAAGGTATTTCTCATGATGTGTGCAATACCAATTTATGAAAAAATATGCCCCCTCTGTTTTGGAATTAAGATATTTTACTGGCTAAAGACTGACAAGTGAGATTTATGTCTATTGCAAACATGATGTGTTCAGTAGGTGTGGCTGCAGGTCTTGAGGAGTTGCTGTCTCCTTGGGGGCACCCGATCCCACCTTTTGTGTTTTCAGGGGAAGGGCATATTTTTGGCCGCATTATCAACCTGTCCACTTCTCTAAATAGAAGAGCTAAAATCCGTGTTCTATTTCAGAACTTTACCTTTTGTATTTAATTAATGTAATACATGTACATTAATTGTATTAACAAGTCATTTTACAAAGTAATTTTTTTATTTAAAGGGTGTTAATTGACCTTTGTTGCGTAATAAGTTACTAAATTGCTTTTAAACAATGGCTTAAAGGGATGGACAGTTGAATAATCATTCAATCAAAGGTTTCCTGGCATATAATTAGATAATAATTATGTCCTTCCTTTGTTGTTATGTCATTGCAACTTTCAGTCCATTTGTTCCTGACTCTTAAAAATTTGCACTTAGACCCAGCTAGAACTCTTAAAGATGTTTTTAATAAGTGCAGAATACAGAAATATATGTATTGGTCAGAACATTTCTACTGTGCTATGATTCTATGACCTTGATCTTCCCGAAATCCAGTCAAAGCGTTCCCAATTAAAACCGTCCCGGTCAAAGCGTTCCCTGATTTTGGTCAAAGCGTACCATGATTTTGGTCAAAATGTCCCCTGATTTTGGTCAAAGCGCCCCCTGACATATTTTATACAAATATGATACTACGAAACCGTCCCCTGATTTTGGTCAAAGCGCCCCCTGACATATTTTATACAAATATGATACTACGAAACCGTCCCCTGATTTTGGTCAAAGCGTCCCCAGATTTTGGTCAAAGCGTCCCCTGATTTTGGTCAAAGCGCCCCCCTGACATATTTTATAGAAAATATGATACTACGAAACCGTCCCCCGATTTTGGTCAAAGCGTCCCCTGATTTTGGTCGAAGCGCCCCCTGATTTTGGTAAAAGCGCCCCCTGAGATATTTTGATAGGAAAATATAGTTTCTAAACCCCCCCCCCCTGATTTTGGTCAAAGTGCCCCCTGACATATTTTGATAGGAAAATGTAGTTTCTAACACCCCCCCCCCCCGATTTTGGTCAAAGCGTCTCTTGATTTTGGTCAAAGCGCCCCCTGACATATTTTGATAGGAAAACGTATGTATAGTTTCTAAACTATAAACTGATTTTCGTCAAAGCGCCCCTAGTCGAATTTGTTGTGTGAAAAAAATGATGTTATTAAATTGTATCGTTTTGATCAAAGAGCCCAAGACATACATGTACTTTGAATGAAAAAATGATGTATTCAATCGCCCCCGAAATATTGGTCAATGCGTCCCGTTATTTGGGTCTAATCGTCCCCTAATTTCGATCAAATCGTTCCCTTATTATACCGGTAATTTCTAAATATAAAAATTATGGAATGGAATGTAATATGTTGAAAAAGAATTTGAAATTCGAACTTGACGATTAAAGTTTTCTATTGGGGAAATGCGTAAAAAAACAAAAACAAAAACAACATCTCCATCGTTGCACACTGTAAGACTGTTTATTTGCATTTGGATTTCAATTATTATTACATACGCCAAATTAGAGATTCTGAGATCTAATTCTGCTATCTAATTAAAGTAAGATGTTTCGAATCCGCCATAACTTCTCTAACAAGCGATAGCGGATTCGGAACATCTACTAATTTTAATATTTTAATTACTAGTAGATTATGAGTCCAGAAATGATTTGTTTTTCTAAGCAAAAAAATTCAGTTTCAGTTTCAAATGACATCAACATAAAAAAAATTGGACAAGAATAATCAATTTGTTCTGTATAGATTACGTATAAATTACACGTGTAATTTCTTTTTTTCCAAATGACCGTGTGGAAAGGAATGGGGGGGGGGGTCATACAGTACTTCCGAAGTATTTCAAGGTCGATTAAATATACATTAGCTGCTTTAAACTTAAATTGTTTCCCCTAGGTGTCAATAACATCTGATAACTTTTTTGCGTTCATGCTAAAATACTACAATACGCCTGCCGAGAATATCTATACGTCTTTCGTGTTATTTATTGACTAAGGTTATATTTTATTACATATTTTAATAGACTATTTACTTAGTGTGTTACAAAACAAAAATAATTTAAAAAGCACATGTCCGATGTTTTATTCGTTTTATAATTTGCTTCCGTCATACAGTACGCCTGCCGAAAGCCCGCGGTGTTGTTTCTTTTATTTTGTAAAAAAAATATAT